CCCCATCCCTGCGCAACAATAGCAAAGTCCCTCAGTAACCAGTGCTGATTTCAGAAATAGGAGTGCCAGAGGGCAGCTGGCTTTGGCCTTTGAATTTCAGAATGGTTGTTATCTGCCTAACTGATTTCTTTCTCAGTCTCCCTTATATTTGTCTTTGAAATCAGTTCTTAGCCACATCACACTAAGGAAAAGATGCCAGTGACACTGATGTGACTGGCTTAATGTCGTATATTGTTTCAGCTGAGACCCTGTTAGAAGTCAGAGCCCTCACACTGGCCTCCACCTGACTTTAAGTCTATGCAGCCGGCCTGCCCGACATTCCTTATAACCTAGAATAGTGGTTTTTCAGCATTTATGTCGTTCAGATATGCAACACACTTGAATCAGTAACCTCTCTGCTCATACACCTGCCTTACTTTTCCCTCAAAGTAAAGCTGTGATGCGGGAGCTAGAGGACCATGAAAGACTGAAATCCATCCTTCAAATACAGTGCAGTGAAGAAAAATACCTTAAGCCTAGAGCAGTGGTCGGCAAACTGCGGCCCCTTGAGTGTGGCTCTTCCACAAAATACCACGTGCAGTGCGATTGAAACTTCTTGACCACAGTCAAGGGGCCAAAGAGCCGCATGTGGCTCGAGAGCCGCAGTTTGCCGACCACCGACCTAGAGGAACATGGTCCAGCTTAGATGTCTCAGTTGTCCTATTGACTTACCACACGAGTTCACTTTTGTTTGAAGAATTCGAATGAATTAGGGAGACTCGGTGTTCGATCCAATTCCAGTGCACACATTGGGTTTGCTTTCCCTGCATGGGTTTATTAAACCCATGGTCTAGAGTTCCATCTGACTGTGACCGCCGCCTTAGTCTCCAATATATGGAGAAGCGAGTCATCTTGAAAAAAATTTTTTTTCATTTTTTTTTTCCAAACGGAAAACAAGTTCCCTTAATAAATGTCAACAGAACAGAAGGTGTTGGTGACAACCTGCTAAAACAGTGATTTAATTCCCCCCCAAGCTACCTACGGACCCTCAGGTCTCATCAACGCAGTCAAGACACATCCTTGTTTCTGAGGGAAAGGTCACTGCGGTGAAAAACGTTGCTCCGGGTGATCCCTCCGTGATTTCTAGCCTCCATCCAACATCCCATCAGGGTGGAAAGGTTGGGAGCATGAAAAGCAACCAGAAGGACGCCAAACCCAAGACTGGGATGTCCCTGAGCAGGAAGATGGGCCCAGCGAGGGTGCATCAGAAGGTCACAGAGACCAGGCACGGGACCTCGCTCGTACACTCGGCGGTGGTTGTCATTGCCGTCCTGGGCGCGGAGGCCTGAGCAGGCAGGTTTATTTGCAGTCACGTTAGCTGACTGCCTGGGGTTGAGGAATTCCACCCCTCCTTATCCCTGTGACTTTAGGCAACTTTCTCAATTGCATAATATGCTGAGTAAGAAAAAAAGGAGGTAATTAGCCAACAACAGTCCACACCTTGTCAGGAAAAAGGACAGACCTGTTAGAAGGTAAAAGTACACAAACCTATCAGGAAAGTCAATGCCAATCAAATAATTAATATTCCGAAGCAGTAGCTGTTCTTTTCTTCTGAAAGTTCGCTGGCTCTGTGGACTCGCTCTTTGAATGCGGCTGCGCGGTGTCCAGGATGACTGAGCACAGAGTCTCCTGGGAGGTTCAGAGGCCTCCAAGCTTCCCACCCGCCTGCCTCCATCACTTCCCCTGGCGTCAGCAGGGCCTTCACGGTACTTAATGCCGTTTGGAAAGGTGGTGAGTGTGGTATCAGCACCTTGAAAAGCAAGTCAGAACGATTTTGGAAGCGTTTGCCGTTGTTCGTTGTCTTGTTTCCCTCCCACTGACATGGATAATGGAGGATAGGCTACAGAAGTGTAGTGAGTCCTGGCCGGTAGCTCGGTTGATTGGAGCATCGTCCCCTTAAAATCCTGATTTCTGGGCCTCATCCTCCGGAAATTCTGTTTCTTGGTTACTAATGTTGTGGCCCCACCCCGTAACAAAGAAACAGAATTTCCGGAGGCTGA